CCCCAAAACCCCAAAACCCCTGATAATTGATTAAGATAAAGTCTGAAATGAGAAAAATCAATTTCAAGTAAAGCAACATTATTTATCTTACTAATGTAAAGAATTAATTTTTAAGTTAAATAACTATAAATTTAGCTCATTCATTTTTTCTATCAGTTTTGTAAAGAGTTTATTTAAACGAATTCTTTTCATATCTTCTAACTTAAATTTACTCTGATTCATTTACCAGAATTTACATCAAAACTCCATGAAGTTAATTATTTTCAAATTATCCAAGGTGAATATCTCCATTCTAGTAGGTATATACTCCTACACCCTATTTAAAGTCATTAATGAAATTTCCAAAGTAGTAATTGCCATTTTTGAATCTTTGCATTCCCAAACCATGTGATTTATGATTCTCCCAATATCCTTCATAATAATTTCCATCATGAAAGTAATACTTTCCATAGCCACATCTTTGTGTATTTTTCATCTCACCTAAGTAATAGCTTCCTGAGGCTAAAATCTATCTGCAATATCCATTCAAATAGTTATCTCTCCAAATTCCCTCAGCAATGGCTCCTGAATAATAGATTTTTCTCCCTCTTCCATCTGGCTTTTTTGTAATACTATCAATTTCTCCTTAATATTGATCTTCTTTTCCAATTTAGATACAATTTTAAAAGATTCTATTAGGGTTAGGATGAACATAATGAATAGCAGGATATTAGAATTCTCCAAGTTAGGCTAGAATTTAATTCACCTTTTCAATAGGTGATTTGAGATTCACAGCAAATGTATCTTAACGAATTACTGAAAGATCAACATCTTGGAATTTTTCTTCCTCATAAGTATTGATTTTCTGGAAAGGATTATCATAATAGTTCACGGACAGTTGCTTTAAGTCAGAAATGATCTCAAGAGCTTGAGGCCTTTAAGATGGATGGAACTAGAGAATCTTATTCAATAATGGTTCAAATACCTTTCTATCTTCAGGTAGTTCAATCACAATGGAAGGGTCTTTTTTCTTTATAATGCTTAGTGTCTTTTCTCTATATTGATAACTTCCTGTACAGAGATAGTAAAGTATGATTCCAGCTTACCAGATGTCAACTTAGTTATTGTAACCTTATTCCTACTCAGTTGTGATTTCTGGGGCTTCGAAGTACTTATTGTCGGCATCTTCATTCGATTCCGAGTTAGGTTTCGTTAATCCGAAGTCAAAAAGTTTGATTTTTTCAGCATTATCAAACATGAGGATGTTTTCAGGACTTAAATCTCTATGCATGATCTTTTGACTTTGTAGATAGTTAACCCCTCGCATTATCTGAATCATAATTTCTTTGATCTTTTCGTTGCTGATACTTGAATTAGCTTCTCTATACTTAAGGAGGTCTGTCTCAGCAAGTTCTGTGATAATAACGAATTTATCGTCATTGGTGAAGTATGATTCATAGAATTTAGTTATGTTAGTATGGCAGAGTTTGAAGGTATTGATCTCTCTGAATATTCTGATCATCTCTGTACTGATGTTGTTTGGTTTTCTAGTTATGAGCGTTTTTAGATCATATATTTTCATTGCATAGAATTAGTTATCTTGGGTGTTTTTTACTTTAAAAACTTTCCCATATGTTCGATCTGAAATATCAGATTCATATATGTAGTTGTCCCATTATGGCTAGACATTTAATGATACGTACTTTTCCATATCAATCTAAATTTTTTTATCACTTAATAATAATTATTTTTCGAATTTCTTCGAAGTTTTCATTATATTTAGCAACGGGGTTTTGGGGTTTTGGGGTTTTGGGGAGATCGGAAGAGCACACGTC